ATATATAGCATATGATCAGGAGGCACTGCAGAGGGGGGTGTGGGGGATCTTAGCCGACGACAGCGAGACGGGCGTGTGTCGTGCCTTATTTTTACCGCTTGTTGTTTTTGCTTCTATTTTGCGTGAGCAAAAAAAGCAAAAAAAAAAAAATACAACAAAATTATTTTTGTACTTAAAAATAAATTGAAAAGCATTTTCCTCATCTGTTTTTGTGTCGCCACAAGTGTGCGTGAGCGCGCGTGTGTGTGTGTGTGTGTGTGTGCGTGTTTTCTCTCTATGGCCAGACAACAACAGGCGCTGAAAATCAAGCGTGAAGCGTGCTGCAGCTCCGCCTACCAAAGTAAAGTCCCAGCCTCAACCAATTCGGGATAAGGGCTCCCCACTCACACACTCACTCTCTCTCTCTCTCAGACTCCCTCTCTCTCTGGCTCTCTCTCTCACACAGTGTGCCTATCAAACTTTTCGCTCTCACGCTCTTTTCTCAATCCAAATATAACAGGAAAAAAATAGAGGAAACTGACTCAAAAGACAACAGAACATAATTTTATAGCTAAGATCGGGCCAGATTCATATACATATATATATATATAGAGTAGAGTAGTGTAGAGCTCTTGTTTGTGTTGGGAGTTGGGTGAATTCCATGAGCTATTTGCGTACGGCAAAGTGAAGGGAAATAAAACTTGAAATTCTGAAATGAAGTCACGTGAAAATTGCATGCGAAATTGCATGAATTAATGCAGCAACAACAACAACAACAACGACAAGTATAACAAAAATCAACTGCAGGCAAAATCCACTCAGACAAAAGTCCTTAGACAGGGCTTTTTGGCCAAAATAACACACACACACACATACACAGACACGCACACACATACATTTAAACAGCAGACGGCGCCTAAGCCAAAATCAGGAAGTTTCCACTGCAAAACTGACGCCGGAAGGAGCCAGAGACGCGACGACGACGACGACGACGATGATGATGTTGTTGATGTTGTTGTTGTTGTTGTTGTTGCTGATGTTAGCTAAGAACAATGCAAACGTGAAGATGCTGAAAATGATGATGATGCTGAGGATGATGATGATGTAACTGAAGTTGGGAAAGAGAATTTACAATAATTACTGGAAGAAAAGGCTGCACTTTATGCAACAACCAAAACTAGAAATGCAATCAGCAAAAACTAAAAACAAAAACAGCTTGTAATGTAAAGCAAAGCACGACAAGTAAATACCCTGTGTGAATGGTGAATATATGTACACAAATTAGCTTTTTAAGTGTAGAAAACAAGCATACTTCACAGAATCAGTATTAGGGTATTCGTAAGAATAACATATTGGTTGACAAATCTACACAAGTAATTTGTTTTTCAAGTTGTAATTAATCCTACAGGATATTACTTGGCTGTGCATACCTCATAGGGGCACTTTAACTGSTACCAAMTATTCGATTTCTCTAATAWTKCAATGGGACTCTGGTAAGGAAAAGGTTTTATACAGACTTTGCAGGGTATTAGCTAGTCTACCATTTCTCCTCAATACAGTCCACATCCTTATCATGCCTTCGAATGGGAGTCTATAACTAATATATCGGAAGTCAACTCGTTTATTGTTTACTAAGAGAATA